ATGTGGATAAACAAAGTCAAAGCAAGCAGCTGAAGAAATCAAATATTGACCCGTACTGATCGCATCACCCCAGTAATGGCTATGGTGGCCAAATTTCGGTACAAAAAGTAGAATACAATCTGTTGTGTCAACAACGTAATTGGTAGAAGACATAAAAGGTGGAGCCCATTAAACCAATGCATTGACAACACAACAATTGGTATCCAAATCTGGTCAAAACATAGCATTATCACTACTGGAAATTGGAGTTTTAGAGGCGTTTAAAAAACGCCGCTATAGGTCTCAAAAACGCCGTTAAATCCTTTTGCGACGTTTAACACCAAACGTCGAAGATGCGGCCGTCGCTATAACTCTATGGCGCTTTAGAAACGCCGCTAAAACGCCGCTAAAAGTTCTTCTAACGGTAACATGACGTCACCATGCTATTTAGCGACGCTTTTAAAACGCCGCCGTATCTCTCTTTCCAAAACTCCAACCGTTGGTATGCTATTTAGCGATGTTTTTAGAAACGCCGTGATAGCCCTTCCTTTTTTCTTTTCTTTTTTTTTTTTTTAAATTCTGCTAATTTTATGTTATTGAACTAAAAAAACACCTATAAAAAAATTGAAAAATAGCAATAAATTTTTCATAGTCAGCCATATTCGATATAAGCACAGGCCCATAAGAACCAAATTGGAGATGGAAACAACCAAAGTGTCTATTTGCCACTGGCTAACAATACCAAACCAGTGGCTCAAAACCCATCTTTAAGCAAGCATTAGTGTCTACAGGTCTGTCTATGGTTCTATCCACTTCCACTACAAAAACATTATAGACTGTATGCTCTTCTTGAAGTCATAAAGAGTTGTAGTTCACAACTGAGATAAGTCAACTGCTCAGGATACATACTATTCCTGCAAAAACAGATCAAACCAATTTCAATTATAGAGATCATATGTAACATATCTAAAGTTGTTATAGAAAATAGATTTAACAAAAATCAACCCTTCTTGATTCAACACAATTCTTCATCCCAACAAATCAAATTTAGTTGGTGAATGAAGCAACTTGTGATTCTACTATATTTTAGGTAAATAACTGAAGCATCAAGATTTTTTTTTTAATATTTCTCGTAAAAAAAAATCCATTAATATACAGCAGCCTCTGGGCCTTGAGTTGAGGACAAATCAATGGTGACCACAGTTCAAATTTCATGTGGGATGATTGAAATCCTGTATTGTGGTTTGGGTTCTTGACCAAACCCCATCTGAACAATGCTTTGCAGATCATCTTCACACACAATTTAATGGGTATGTTTGATGTGGGAAAGAGCCATTAGGCTGAAATACCCGGAATTTACAACCAATTTTAGAAAAAAACATCACAATAGATAAAAGAAATTGATTTTACAAGTTTCTATACTCACATCTTTTGACAAGAGACTATCCATGTTAAATTCCAACCTTGGATTCACAGAAACTAACTTCATTGACAGAAACTACAAAATACAAAATGAATACACAATACCCATTAAGTCATAGAACTCAATTATGCAATCAAAATGAAACCCCATGGTATAGAACAAGTCCTAATTTACCTCGTTGCAGTGATTGCACATAGTTTATAATTTCAACAAGCATAATTGCTTTTCCATTCATCTACAAGTACAATGGAATTTTTTTTTTTTAAAGAAACAATTAGAAGACCAATGATACCTTGGAAAGCTTCATTTTTTGCATACTTTTCTTTTAAACTGTCTACAAACGTGTGAATGGGGCGCCATCCACTAGGATCTACCTCTGTATTCACGTTCTCTGTTCGTTTTTGGACATCCTTCAAACTATTGCAACAGTGATGGAGCATTAGCATTTGCCTTCCAAACGTATATGTTAGAGAACTTATAGAAGAAAAAGTCAAAAAGATTCACTCTTACATTTCAAGGATATCAGGTGTAGGAAGTTTGGAAATGAAATGGACCACAGCCCCATCCAAAAAAGATAGCTGCTTTGGAGCATCAACAAAAGCATACTCAATACCATCCTTGACAATTTTCAATATGTCTGATCTATGCTTGTCAAGATGCCCTTATGAGTGATATATGAATCAATATGTCTCCAGGGAAAATCCTGCCAGCCCATTTGTCAAGATGTATGTCATAAAGAAGTCTGCCTGAAAGAAAAAAACAAAAAGCAATGGGATCAATAAGCCATTGCTTGGATCATCTTTATCAGTGATAAGAGTTAATGCAAGGACATAATTGATTCTGTAAGTTTAGAGATAAAGAAAACAATTGCATCACGCTCCCTTGATCTTACAATGTTGCATAATACAACCTTAGATAGAAAACAACCCAAATCTAAGAATAGATAGAATAAAAATATGGAAATATACATCTTCACAGTTTCATATGCTTTCCACATTGCTTTCACCCTTCTCATATCAGATTAGCCAAACCCTAAAACAGAATATTATACAAAACATGAAGAAAAAAAATAAAAAAAGGAATATACAGTTACATAATATATCCAGTGAATCAATAAGGATCAGTACACTTACTTGGGCCGAGACAGCACTTGCAAGATGGCTAGGAAAATCCGTAGGATGAGTAACAGATTTTCCAATTTGATCAAGTAAAGACCCTGATAACAAGGTTAAGAAGAATACATTTCCCAACAGAAAATAGAAGACCATGTTGCAAGCTTTTATCTCCTTTTTACTCCTCGATACATAACCTTCCAGTTTAGCCATTCCAAGCATGGCAAACGGAATGACATATATAAATCCACTAAGGATGGCAGTTGGAAGATACCCTGTAATGACAGGTCCTAAGCAGGGTCTATAGGATAGATATCATCTCAGTAAAAAAAGTGATCGACATAAAGACGTGTACGAATCAATTGTACCAGACAGATAAGAATAGTGTCTGAATCTAAGCAGGAAAATAAATGTAAGCAAGTAATTAGCCACCACTTTATATGCATGAATAAGCTGTTTATTCTATAGCATTGATTTTTGATAAATGTTATGACAGAAAAATACATTAAAGAATAGTATTCTTACATCAAATGTACAGCTATGGCTGGAGGAAACCATGTCTTTAATCTTTCATATTTTGCTATTCCTTGAACTGCAGTCACTGGGATGGCAAAAAATAGTGTAAGAAGTGATGCTGCAACAAAAACTCCAATTTTATACAGTGGCAAATGCCTATATGGGATTGACAAATTTCTCCATAGTACATCCCTTGGTTCTGGAGCCATTTCAGTGATCCATATAAGTGGATTTGAGTGCTGTTGAGATTGGGCAGCTAGAGTAGCACCCCACCGATTTCTGAATGTAACAAAAGCAACAGGCAACTCCTGCGAAAATGATAGCACACCATATCAATTTATGTCCAAACTTTCAACAAAAAGAAGTAGAATGGGTAGTCACTACAAAATTAGATAGGGTTGTGTCTAGAAAGATGATCAAAAGTAAAAACGAATTTTCATATTTATGTTGCTCAACAGTATCATCTCAACCAGTAATTTCACGTAGTAAATTTAAAAACAGGAAAAGAAAAAATAAGCCATCTTAAACTTTCTTTCCAACAAAAGCTTAGTTCCGAAAAATATATGTATACACTTTCATGAATTATCATACAGTTTCTCAGATCCTTCATTCAAACTATCACCACCACCACATGCGAAAAACATCCAGCATCCTCTATTAGTGTCAGTTTGCACCAGCACTCTTCCACCATCCTCTATAACTTCTTACCTTGTGTGTTGCTGCTGAAAGTTGCTGGTGCTATTTCTTGGTCTTCAGGTCCATTCACAAGGTAAGAAGTTGGGATTTTTTTTCTTTTTTTTTTTTAGTTTGTGTTCACGTGGCCAACAAAGGACTTTGGGTTTAATCTGGTGTAGCACAATCATGAAATCAATGGTTCGTATCTTTCTGTTACATTGGCTTATGTGTAACAGAAAAATTCGAGGCGAGGGTAGTCTTCAAGGTTTTCGAGCATTGCAATTTCGTCGGTACCGTCAAAATTTTCATATTCCAAATGGTTTAAAGGGATTCAACAGAATTTTCATAGTGAATGAACATAATTCTTTCCAACTTCACCATTCAAGATTTGGTGTATGAAAGATATGATGATATTGCATCATATATATCCCCTCTTGCTGTGTGACATCATGGAGGATCTCAGCAGGATGATCTTGAGCTATGAAATATGACTTAAACCAATAGGCTAAACATATTCTTTTTCCAATATACATTTATCATGGTATACGAGATGCTGGAAATAAAGAAAGAAGCTATACTGAATGATGAGAGATTTAACATAAATGAACACTGACTTAACAAACATCCGAAGTCTAATCTAAACCTCAACTATTTTAGTATAATCTTGTGCTACATTAAAAATAAAGCCAATGATAATACTAAAGTATCTCATCTTCTATAAGACAAAGATTTGACCTAAACTAACCAACAGGACAAGTTCTCACATGCAAACACTGCACAAAGGAACACAGAGAGATGGATTCACACTGAAGCAGACGGATCATATTCAAAGTGATGAAGTAGAACCATCTAGAGAAAAAAAATCCTTTCACTTCCAATGCTGAACATTACACAGTGACATGACTATCTCCTTATATTTTGGTGGAAGTCTGCTGGTAGCTTCTTGTAACCAACAACCATGAGAAGCTAAATTAACAATGTGAAGACACTATCATTCCAGCTTCCAGTTCAAGTACCCCCCACAAGGAAAACAAAAAACAAAATGGCTTCACATTATTAATTTAGTTTCTCATGGTTGCCGATTACAAGAAGCTACCAGCGGACTTCCACCAAAAAAAAGAAAAAAATAAAGTTAAGGAAAAACAAGTTAAGAAAAAACAAAAACACATACATATAATCTTCCAATTAATTTCAAATAAGATAAAAGAATGTAAAAGCTTTCTGATTAAAAGCTAATGAAAAAGAGGAATGTATTTTTAGAATATCAATGTACAATTAGCGAAATGGTCTCATTGATTGCGCTACCAGTCTACACACAGCTTTAAGGAATCATTGCCAGCGAAAATCTTTCCTTTTCTTCAAGCATCTTTTTGCACTGTATGTGGCGTATCTTATG